GCGTCGCCTGTCCGTCCTGCTCGCACTAGTGGTCGTGGCTCGCGTCAGCGTCCTCCTCCTGTCCCTGGCATGCACTGGATGTCTCTGCGCCCGTCCACTGCTCCTCTGCGTGCCCCTTTGCCTTCAAGGCGCGTTACGTGGCTCGTGGCTTCTGTCAGCGGCAGGGAGTTGACTACTTTCAGACCTCCTCTCCCACCCCGAAGATGACCACTCTTCGGGTACTGCTGCACATAGCTGCTCATCGTGACTATGAGCTTCACTCTCTTGACTTCAGCACAGCTTTCCTGCAGGGCAACCTGCACGAGGAGATCTGGCTGCGCCGCCCACCTGGCTTCACCGGGTCTTTTCTTCCTGGCACCCAGTGGAGCCTCCGGCGGCCAGTCTACGGTCTCCGCCAGGCACCGCGTGAGTGGCACGACACACTGAGGACTACACTTGCGGCTCTTGGGTTTGCTCCCTCTACTGCCGACCCGTCGCTGTTTTTGCGCACCGACACTTCTTTGCCGCCGTTCTACATCCTCGTGTACGTCGACGACTTGGTCTTTGCCACAGCTGACACTGCTGGACTCGCCCACGTGAAGTCCGAGCTGCAGAAGAGACACACGTACACAGACCAGGGTAAACTGCGCAGCTACCTTGGCTTGCAGATCACCCGGGACAGAGCACAGCGCACCATTACCCTGACTCAGTCACACATGGTGCAGCAGGTCCTTCAGCGCTTCGGCTTCACGTACTCCTCGCCTCAGGCCACTCCTCTGCCTACTCGCCACTCGCTCTCAGCTCTGCCTTCGGATGAGTCCGTAGAGTCGAGTGGCCCGTATGCAGAGCTTGTTGGCTGCCTCATGTACCTGATGACCTGCACACGACCTGACCTTGCATACCCTCTTAGCATTCTAGCACGCTATGTTGCTCCCGGGAGACACAGACCGGAGCACATGGCTGCAGCGAAGAGGGTGTTGCGCTACTTATGCAGTACGTTGGGTATGGGGCTTGTGCTTGGAGGGCAGAGTCCAGCGATCCTCACAGGGCACGCAGACGCTTCTTGAGCTGACGACCAGGCTACGCAGCGGTCGTCACAGGGTTACACCTTCAGCCTTGGTTCCGGCTCTGTCTCGTGGCGGGCTACCCGCTCGTCTTCTGTTCTCGGCTCCAGTTGTGAGGCTGAGATCTACGCCGGGGCCATGGCTGCACAGGAGCTTTGCTGGCTCACCTACCTGCTGACTGACCTCGGAGAGCCGCCTCTTTCTCCTCCAGTGTTGTACGTAGACAACAAGGCCATGCTGGCCTTGTGTCAAGAGCATAGAGTGGAGCACAGAACGAAGCACATCGCTCTCCGCTACTTCCTTGCTCGTGAGCTACATCAGCGTGGTCAGCTGCGCCTTGTGTACGTGGCCTCTGAGGCCAACACTGCTGACATCTTCACCAAGGCACTTGCGCCTTGTGATCATCAGCGCTTCTGTACTCAGCTGGATCTTGTGCCTACCTTGCCTCACTTGCTGACCCCTTGACCTTGTTTGTACTGTTACATATATATATATACACCTGCTCTTGCTTGTTAAGCCTTATATATATATGTAATCCTGCATGTGAACTGGCCTTCTGGCCTTCAACTTGTGCTAGGAATGTGTGGTGACTTTGTGATCCACCCTGAGCTTGCTTTGCTTTGCTTGACTAGTCTTGTGACCCCTTGTTCTCCCCCACTTTGCCTATGGGGGTGTGTCAGATTTATATGACATAGCTACTGTAGGCGATAGTGGGGTAGCACATATGGGGTACAGCTTTCCGGGGTTTGTACTTGTACCAAACTTTCCCTTAGTCATTTCATTCTCGTTCTAGTTTTCTCATGGTATCAAGCAGGTTCCCTCGAGTATAGCCCAATTTAGGGTTACCCATATGTACTCAACTACTTGCTAGTGCAACCCCTCCTTTGCTCATTCTCTCTTGCCTAGCTAGGTAAACCCTAGCTATGGCTCCTCGTTCTGCTTATTATTGTGACACCTACCTGTCACCAACATCAAAGGGCTAGACCTGATCCTTGGAAGAGACTTTCTTAAGAAGTTCAACCCTGAGATCAACTGGGTCACCCGCACGGCGAGTATCTACAATCAAGATAGAAAAGTTCCACTTCCGAATTGGAGCAACACGGGAGATATTCCAGAGGAGACTCTCGCACGCTTCGAGAAGGACGTGAAGCGAACCATGGCAGGGTTTGTTGCACTGGTTACCAACGAGGACGAAGGAGAGAGAAAAACCCTCGAGCTTCTACTAGCAATCCAGAAACTTCTAGAAGAGTTCGAAGACGTTCTCCCCGACGACCTTCCAGTTCAGATGCCGCCATACCGAACCCACCAGCACGAGATCATCGAACAACCTGGTTCAAAGCCGACCTTCCGAGCACCATATCGACTCAGCCCTTCCGAGTTGGCCCACATGAAGAAGCAGATCGAGTACCTTCTGGACAAAGGACTCATTCGACCATCAACATCACCATACAGTGCACCAGTGCTTTTCGCGCCAAAACCTGACGGAAGCTTACGCATGTGCATCGACTACCAAGCCCTCAACAAGTAGACAATCAAGAGCAAGTATCCGATTCCACGGATCGACGATCTACTTGACTAGCATCGGAGAGCCACGATATTCTCAAAACTTGATTTGAGATCGGGATATTGGCAGATCCGGATGGCGGATAACTCCATCCATAAGACGGCGTTTCGGACACGATACGGATCCTACGAGTACCTCGTCATGCCGTTCGGACTCACCAACGCACCTTGTTGCAGTGGGACCATGACGTCGCACTACGCAAAGGATCAACAAAGATATGGGTACCCAACTACCCGCCTCTTCGGCAGTTGCTTCTCGAAGAATTCCATGACGTGCTCTACACTGGACACTTCGAGAGTAACAAGACTCTTGCCGGGATTGCAAAAATCTACTATTGGCCTCACATGGCGGACGACGTGCAGAAGTTTGTCACTTCGTGCGACACATGCCAGCGGATGAAGAGCAGTAAGCAGAAGAAAGCAAGACTCTCCAGCCTCTACCCGTCCCGGAACAGCCTTGGCAAGTGGTCAGCTTGGATTTCATCACCGGTTTACCACCTACCAATGCGGGGCATGACGCCATCCTGGTCATCATCGACAAATTCTCAAAGATGGGACACTTCATTCCGACACATACAACCGCACGCACCGAGGAAACGACACAGCTATTCCTCAAACACATCGTCTTACAGCACGGGATCCCAACAACCCTCATATCCGACAGGGACCCCAAGTTTACTAGCAAGTTCTGGAAAGAGCTCATGTCGCTCATGGGGACACGCCTAGTAATGTCATCTGCATATCATCCCCAGACCGATGGGCAGATAGAGCGCTTGAACCAAATTGTGGAACAACTCTTGCGCGCAGCGTGCAAGGACGACATTAACAAGTGGGACTTGCACTTGGCGGTGTTGGAGTTCGCCTACAATAATGCGAAGCATGCCGCAACAGGAGAGACCCCATTTTTCCTCTGTTACGGACGACATCCACTAACTCCACAACAGCCGACCGTACCTGCAAGTGTCCAACCCGCGCACGACTTCGTTACCACAATGCAGCGGCTTCGGGATCGGACACACAAGCGTCTACAGGACATACAGTCTTCACAGAAACGCTTGGCCGATCGCTATCGACGTGATCATACCACTGCGGTTGGTGACCACGTGCTTCTCGACACATGCAACCTCAACCTCGGTCACCTTCCATCCAAGTTACGACCTCGCTTCTGCGGACCTTTCCTCGTAGAAGAGCGGGTCACTCCAGTCACATTCCGCTTGCGCCTACCAGCTACTTGGAAGATTCATAACGCCTTCCACGTGTAGCTTCTTAAACCCTATCGAGATCCAAATAAGCTGTACACCGGAAGCCAACCTCCGCCGCCGCCTCCAGTCCTCGTGAATGATGAACCTGAGTACGAGGTTGAATCTGTGCTTGCACATCGTCATCGTCGGCATGGCGCCCTGGAGTTTCTCATACGCTGGAAGGGCTATGATCCTTCTGAGGACAGCTGGGTCTCTGAAGAAGACACGAGTAACGCCCGTCGTTCTCTCCGGGACTATCTTGTCAAGTAGGGTGTTACATCTACCACCCAGCTTTGAGGGGGGGAAGTGTGAGAGTACGCCGACATTCGACATATTTCCCAATTCTTTATTTTTACTCCATCTTATTGTCCTTTTTTTCCTCTTTCGTTTGCACTTTATTTCACCCCAATCGGACTACTATTCTATTTTCTAGAGCTTTTCGATTATTTCACTTATTTGGTATTTTCGGCACGGACATTTACATTATACGGCACCGACAGCACCGACAGTGGTGAACAAGGCGTAATCTCGCCATAATCCGAAGTGCCAATGGGCTTGCGCGCATTTGTGATTATCTATTCTAGAAGAGCGCGTTCCCGAAGGTTCAGATTATCTGTTGTTTCTATGTATATCCGAGTATATATACGCCTTGTACTCACCTTTAGTGCAACATTCTCGAGTGGAAATTTGATCCTGTGACAGGAGCAGAGCCTCCGTCGGAGGGAACTCAGAGGAGTGAGGGGCGGCGCGCTTCCGACCCTCGACGCAAGGAACGCAGGTAGGGGCAGGCCCCGGGGGGAGGGGAGGGAGAGACCGGGAAAGACCATTGACAAGGACACGAGAGGCCATACCTCGAAGACGAGGCAGGGAGGGGTGACCAAGGCGGTGGTGCCAGAGGAGAGTCTGGTGTGACACGAGACAACACGAGCAGGGGGCAGACTCCGAACCAGACCTGGACGCGGCAGCAAACATCTGACCAGACGCTGCTACATGACCAGACGCAGTAACTGGAGGGGACGCAGTAGTCAGGGTGTACAGGATCGATCCAGGCTGACGGGTAAACGTGGCGAGGTGGCGGCCTGTCCGACTACTCGTACAGTGGGTCACCCGCTGCCCACCAGGAGTGAACTGGTCAATCCAGACGTCCTGGAGGTCAGCTCCACTCACCAAGTTCGTAGAGAACAAGGGGAGGTGAAGACGGGACCGCTGGACACGACAGAACCGTAGAGGAGTGTGCAAAGAATGGGCCCCCAGAGGGGTCCGTCAGGGAGACAGCAACCGGCTGACTGAGCGGCGTGAGTGTGGTGCTGTTGCAAAAGAAGGAGCGGGAGGCACCGGAGTTAAGAGTGAAAGTGTGCAAGGCCTCAGCAGGCGCAGTGCCTGAGAGAGCAGACTCACCAGCACTTAGAGCAGCAGGCTTACCAGTACCTGGAGCAGCAGACTCACTAGCACCTAGAGCAGCAGCCTCTATATCTGGGTCAGGCGGCACACACAGGTAACAGTCACCCTCAGCACTAATAGTCACAGCATACATGGCAGCAAGGATACCATCATACTCAAGATCAAAGATAGCTACACCAGACTTAAGCAGATCAGCCCAGCAAGGGAGCTCTGTAGCATCAGGAAACTGTGCGCGCCAGGCATCAGTCAGGCGACCGAAACAGCGCTGCGTAGCATGCGGCAGGCCGCACGTCTCCCCACGCTGGTCGCCAGTGCGGAGAACGTAAGCGCACGGACCAGCATCCCCAGGCCTCCCACACCCAGCGTACCACTCACGAAGCTGCTGAGGCGACGGGGCCTCACGGGAACGCGGCTTCTGCTGGCGCTGGCCACCGCCAAAGCCTCCACGCTGCACGGCTCCACCCCGCCCAGCACCACCGCCGCCGCCACCCCCACTGCCGCTGCCGCCGCCGCCTCCACCTCCACCGCCGCCATCGACGCCCCCACTCCCGCCTCCACCCCCACCTCCACTCCCACCCCGTCCACCTCCTCCACCGCCGCCACCGCCGCCCCCGCCGTCCCCTCCACCACCCTTGCCCCCCTTGCCCTTGCCGCTACGGCGCCTCCTACTAGGAGCAGACGCAGTCCCGACTGCCTCGGTGCCAACGAGGTCGACAGCAGCAGCAGAAGCAACAGAGGGCAAAAGGGGGACAGGGGAGCACCCCTCAAAGAAAGAGGCGCGAGGGTCGCCGCGAGAAGCTCCTAAGCGGCTATGCTAGTCTCAGCTGCAAGGAGACGCTCCTCGAGCAGGTCAACGGTGAGCTCAGTGGGGCAAAGGGAGAGAAAGCGGTCCCTGACTGAGCGAAGAGAGTCACGGAGGCGGGTGACGAGGTAGAAGAGGGTGATGTACATGGGGGGGAGGTTCTTGGCACAGAACTCGGAGGGAAGCGCAGCGCGGTAGCGGGTGTCACTAGTGTGGAGGTGAGTGATGAGGTCAGCGACTGTGGCAAACGCGGCTAGGTGAGGGAACAAGTACGGTAGCATGAGGCGGCTGAGGGCAGCAAAGGCAGGGGAGGAGTAGCGTGCGACAACAGCATCATCCAGAGACTTAGCAGTCTTATACTGACCAAAGTGCGCGCGCTCAGCAGACGGCAGGTGACTACTAACAGCAAGGCGAGCAACAGCGTCACAAGTAGTCCACTGTGAGCGAACTGTACTGTCAGCGTCGGCAGCAGGTGCAATAGAGGCACGGACGTGTGATCGAACAGCGAGACTCCGTCCCTGGAGTCGCACTGAAGATAGAGCTGCAAGTCATCTACCCAAACCTCAAAATCGACCGCATGGCCCTCAACATCAAAGGTAATCACATTAGGACTAGCCATGGCAGCAGTAGCAGCAGGGCAGAGCGGCGCGGCTAGGCAAGGCGGCGCGGCTCGGCTGGGCGGTGCGGCTAGGCAGGGCGGCGCGGCTCGGTTAGGCGGCGCGGCGCGGTAGGCACGCAAGCGCAGCGGCGCGCTTGGCAGGGCGGGCGCTTACCAGGGGCGGGTGCAGGGAGGGCCGCGACTGGCGGGTAGGGCAGGGCCGTGACAGGGCGGCAGCAGGACAGGGCCGCGATGAGGTGGCTACAGGGCAGGGCCGCGACGGGGCGGCTGCAGGGCAGGGCCCGCGACTGTGCGGCTGCAGGGCAGGGCCGTGACTGGGCGGCAGGAGGGCACGGCCGCGACTGGGCGGCTGTAGGGCAGGGCCGCGACGAGCGGCGGAAAGGCAGGGCCGCGACGGGCGGCGAGGCCAGGTCGCGAAGGGCGGCGATAGGGCTGGGCCGCTGCGGGCGGCTAGGGCAGGGCCGCGACAGGCCGCGAAAGGGCAGGGCCGCGACGGGCCATTAGGGCAGGGCCGCTACGAGCGGCAGTAAGGCAGGGCGCGCGACGGCGCTAGCGAGGCAGGCGCGAGGCGCGCTTCGGGCAGGGTAGGAAAATATTTTTTTTATCGTGCTGGGCCCTAAAAAAAACGTTCTGAAACCATGTCAGAATCAGCAGTGAAGAATGACTAGAAACACAGCAGTACAAGGTTTTTATAGCAAAACCTAATTAGGCTATACCCCATAAGGAGTGCCCCATTACAGCCTAGAGCATAGTTCTGACAACCAGAGCCTCCATGTCAGCAGCAGCAAAATCCAAGTCATCGACGTACACGAGAATGTAGAACTGCGGCAGGGTAGTGTCGTTGCGCAGAAACATCGACGGGTCAGCAGGCGAAGGAGCAAACCCAAGAGCCGCAAGTGTCGTCCTCAGTGTGTCGTGCCACTCGCAAGGTGCCTGACAGAGGCTGTACACTGGTCGCTGTAGGCTCCACTAGGTACCATAAGGAAATGACCTAGTAAAGCCAGGTGGACGGCATAGCCAGATGGCCTCGTGAAGGCTGCCCTGCAAGAAAGCTGCCGAGAAATCGAGGGAGTGCAGCTCGTAGTCACGACGAGCTGCAACGTATAGCAACACCCGAAGAGTGGTCAACTTCGAGGTGGGGGAGAAGGTTTAAAAGTAATCTACCCCCTTACGCTGACTAAAGCCTCGAGAAACGTAACGTGCCTTGCAGGCAGGCGGAGAACCCGGCGGCCGCTTCACCCTGAAAATCTACATGCCACTGACGATGTTCGCCCCAGGTGGGGGAACCTCGTCGACGTAGGTGCCTCTGGACTTCCAGGAAGCCATCTCTGCATCCATGGCTATCTGCCACTAAGAGGAGTACTCACCCGAGATCGCCTCTCTGTAAGAGCGCGGGGTGGGGATGTCAAGTGCATCCGGGTCTCCCTCAGGGGCAAGCAGCATGGACTCGAGATGAGGTGCAGCGGCCGCAAGACACTCCAGCCCCTCCTGTCTGTCCTCAAGAACGTCACAACCAAGGGCAACCTCAACCCCGACGGACGGAGGACAAACAGACCCAGAATCAGTAACAAAACTCGTGACGTAGTCGAGACGACTCCTAGCTGCAAAGTCGTGTAGCTCAGTGACTAGGGCAAACCCAGTAGTGGACTCAAAGTCAGGCTCAGTGACGACAATAGCTAGGAGACGAGTGACACTAGGACTGGGAGCACGAGCAAGGTCGGACTCAGGATCAGGAACGTGTGGAAGAGAGAACGCGGGAGGCTTAGGTAGGACAACACGTTGTGAAACGGAGGAAGGACGAACTGCCATACAGGACGAGTGCCTGGGACAGCAGGAGGACGAGGACGGGCGACACGACGAGCAGGAACAGGTGTGGAAGCACGAGTCTCAGGCTCACAACGCTCAGTCAGGGACTTAGTCACCTCAGTGTGAGGAGCAGGAGCAGGCAATGGGGAGCCAGGCAGTAGCTGTGGCTGAGACTGGTCTGTCGGTGGACATAGGAGAGGTGGAGTGAGGCCAGTGGAAGACGGGAGACTAAACCTGGAGAAGGACCAAGTCAGGCGGCGGCAGAGACATTCTGGCTGCGGGTAGAAAAACGGTCGGCACGGGGCTGTACCAGCAGCTCCAGCTCCTCCAGCACTAGTAGCACGATCACCTCCAGCATTAGCAGCTCCAATAACACCTCCAGAACCAGCAGCATCACTTGCTCCGGCAGCGCCAGCACCTCTAGCACCAGCAGTACCTCCAGCACCTCCATTGCCAACAGCTCTAGTTTCATCTCCAGCACCTCTAGCACCAGCAGCACCACCTGCTCCGGCAACTCCAGCACCTCTAGTACGCGCATCTCCAGGACCAGCTGCTCCAGCACCTCCTGCACCTCCAGTACCTCTAGTACCCCCAGCAGCACCTCCAGCACCTCCAGCACCAGCAGCACCACCAGCTCCGGCAGCTCCAGCACCTCCAGGACTGGCAGCTCCAGTACCTCCAGTACCTCCAGCTCCAGCGCCTTCAGCAATGGCAGAACCTCCAGCACCTCCAACACCAGCAGCACCAGCACCTCTAGTGCCAGCAGCTCCAGCACCTCCAGCACCAGCTGGACCTCCAAAACTAGCAGCTCTAGCACCTCCAGCACTAGTAGCACCTCCAAGACTAGAAGCTCCGTCACCTCCAGCACGAGCAGCACCTCCAGCACCTCCAGGACTAGCAGCTCTAGTACCTCCAGCACCTACCTTCAGCACCAGCAGTACCTCCAGGAATAATAGCTCCAGCACCAGCAGGACCGTGCCCTCCACCACTAGGACTGCCTCTCCGAACGATCCACACACGAATCGCATGCGGCGAGAGCGTCTCAAGAAGATCAGGCTACGGTGGCTGACCAGCTCCAGGACGTCTATCAGGGTCACCCACAGCTCCACCGCCACTAGGACTCGCAACACCCCTAGAGTCAGCACCCCCAGCCGTAGCACCCCCTGAACCCTCACCCTATGTCTGAGCACCCGCAGGCTCAGCACTAGCAGTCTCAGCTCCAGAGTCCACAGCAGCAGGCTGCGGAGGCGGCGAAGACGGCCGAGGTGGAAAACCAGGGGGGGTCTCTAAGCGTGGAGAGCGGCGAGTGGCCGTCGTGTCGTCAGTGGTGGGGTAATCCCCCTCAGCTGGGTCAGAGGAGTCAAAAGAGATCTCCAAAGGCTCAACCAAGGGGGGTGGATCTACCTGAGACACACCTGAGAGAGCAGGACCTTGTGGGGGGAGCGGGTCTATGGGGGGTGGGGGGACTGGTACCAGGAAGAGAGGTGCTAGGGGGACCGGGTGGGACTCGTGCGGGTGTAGCCTGTAGAAGTAGACAGACTCGTCAAAGGTGACGTCATGGGAGGAAAAGACTGGACGCTCGCGTGGGTGGTAGAACTGCCATGATGGGGCGTCCGTGGGGAAGCCAAGGAAGACGCAGCGGGGAGTGCAAGAGGAGAGCTTGCTCGCTTTGGCATCGCGAACAAGGGAGAGCGCGCCCCAGACCTGAAACACCGACGCATCGCCAACCTTCCCCGTCCACCGGAGTGTGGGCGAGGTCTCTGGCTCAGAGACACGGGGCTAGAGGTTGAGCTGATGCGCAGCGTATTGGACCGCGAACGGCCACAGAAAATGGGGAGCAGCCGCATGGATCATGGAGGTACGAGCAACATCCATGATCAAGCCAATGCGACGCTCAGCAATCCCATTCCGCTGAGGAGAGGACGGAAGCGTAAACGTCTGGCGGATGCCCTCGTCTCAACAAAACCCCTCAAGGAGGCCAGAAGAGAACTCACCCCCCCTGTCAGAGTGCAGACGCAGGACTGGCAAGTTCCGACGAAACCGCTTGAGCAACTGGCGACGAGTAGCACGGATCCAGGGGAGCAAAACACCACGGACGTCCGCCTTGCGCCGCAAGGAGAAGACAGTGTTATAGCGTGTGTGGAAATCAACAACCAGCAGGAAGTAGTGATCCTGGTCCGTTCCACCGACGGGGGCCAGGCCCCAAACGTCCATGTGGAGAGTATGCAGAAGAGCAATGGTCGGAGGAAACTCGGAGGAGTGAGGAGTGGCGCGCTGCCGCCCCTCGACGCAGGGAAGGCACGGCGGTGCAGGTGAGCGCGGGAGGGAGGGCAGGGACCTGGAAAGACCAGAGACAAAGAGACGGGAGTGCATGCTGTGGAGTCGCGGCAACGCGGGGTGACCTAGGCAGTGGTGCCAGAGGAGAGTCTGGTGAGAGAGTACCCGACACGAGCAAGACGCTGCAAGCTGACCAGAGGCAGACACCTGACTCGATGTAGCCACCTGACTTGACTCAACCACCTGCGCAGACGTAGTGGTCAGTGTGTACAGGCTGGACCCAGGCTGACAAGTGTGTCAGAATATTATTCTTATGTTCTAGCCTGTAGTGGGGTGCTCTATAGCGAGTACAACCCTTCTAGGGTTTGCTATTTGTATCCCCATTTCTGCTAGTTCATTCCTCTTTCTTTCTTCTAATTTTGTCATGCTATCAGAGCAGGTCGATCCCCTTGGATCGATCCTGTGGGTGGGTTACCACCTCGCTTCCGCTGCTACTTTTTCCTCCCGCCGTGCGCCCCAAGGCGCGCGGCGGTTTTCTGCCCGCCGTGCGCCCCGAGGCGCGCGGCGGTTCTTTGCCCGCTGTGCGCCCCGAGGCGCGCGGCGGGCTTCTACCCTACGTCGCGGCCCCGCCCTGCGTCGCGGCCCAGCCCCTCGAAGCGGCCCCGACCGTCGCGGCCCCGCCCCTCGACGCGGCCCCGCCCTACGTCGCGGCCCCGCCCTGCGTCGCGGCCCCGCCCCTCGAAGCGGCCCCGCCCTATGTCACGGCCCCGCCCCGACCGTCGCGGCCCCGCCCCTCGACGCGGCCCCGCCCTACGTCGCGGCCCCGCCCTGCGTCGCGGCCCCGCCCCTCGAAGCGGCCCCGCTCTACGTCGCGGCCCCGCCCCTCGTCGCGGCCCCGCCCCGACCGTCGCGGTCCC